AGTTCTTAAGTGCAACAGTTGCAGAGCAGAGAATATAAAGCCCAGAGAAGAAGACGTGAGGGTATGTTGATAACAACTGGTTACTAGCTCAGCCTAGCTGGGTCTGTAGATAAGTGTGTGTTACATGAAGTACGATTTTCACACTATTTGTAGCAAAATGGTAATTTTTAAAAGTCATAGTGTATTTTTGAATTTTGTGTGGGGGTACTTGAGGGTATGTATGTGTGTATGGATCCAGTTTTTAAGCCAACAAGCTGTATATACCCACTCATCTGACCCCTGCCATAGGAAGCATTTGCTGTATCCACTAGAATCACTGCTTAATTTTTTTCCTGTGAAATACATTATGATGTTACATTATTACGTATTTATTCAAAACACAGTCTGCAGCGGAGTAAGGAGAACTGCATGCTCTATTAGCGATCAGAATGAATAAAAAAGAACACCTGCATAAAGTACCTTAACTATGTCTTAAGCTTCGATAATAAAACGCCAGCAGACATCAATGACTTTATTCAATTATAAATGTTTTTAAATGATAATATTTATCTTAGTAGTTATTAGTGGTGTTTCAGTATCATATATAATCTGATTAATGTTCTCTCTTGCGTAAGACACTGGATCTGTTGCTGTGTTCATTTACAAACTATATTTCTTTATTGGGGTCTAAGCACGAACACTACCGAGAACCTTGTTGTTTTGCTAGTCATTAGTTTTAATTTTATGGCTTGACGTTAGTAACTAGTGTACCAAAGGCCACTGTACCAAAGTTAACGTGTTTTCCCTTTTGTAAGAACCAAGACCTGCCCTTAAGGAGAATTATTTGGTAGTATAAACAAAAGCTAAGAGAATATTTTGGTATCATTTCCTCACAGACTTTCCTCCCACAAGATGAATCCAGTCTGTCTTTTCAAGAGGGAATGATTAAAGATAAACATTTTCTCCTACTCCCAAGTTATTTTACTCATTTACAAAGAAAAACCTATTTCATGAGGCTTTGTAATGTTGCATAAACCCAGAACAAAATCAGCATGTGACTTGTCTTGACTTACTTCCTTAGATTTTTGTGTAGAATCTTAGCTTTGTATTGTTTGAAGCTGGTCATGTGGTTGCAGCAAACATGACTTTAAGTGTTAAAAACTAAATAAGAAAACAAAACAGCCAGCAGAACAATAAACAAATGGAGGACTTGAAAAGCCAACCTAATCTTTAGATGGGGAAATGTAGTGATGCCCAAGCCGGAAATTAGCAAAGGCTTTAGTCGGTTGCACTTAAAATACCTGAATTTAGCTGTATTTTGTTAGCTAAAGGTGGCTTGGTTTAACACCAACTATAATTAAATCAAGGAAAATAATGCCTTAAAATGGCAGTACAGCGAGGGAATGACAAAACAAATCCATACGTATCCCAGAAAACACCATAGGACATTCAGTCTATTAGCGACAGATAACCCCAAAACTACTAAAGAAATGCCTACACTAGCCAAAAACGAAATACAGCCAGGGATTACTAAGTGTAGAAAAATTAGGCTAACAATAAAAAATGTTTAGTAAAAGATATGTTAGTCATTAGGTCACAATGCCTTTTCCCAATGTTGACAACAAAAATACAGAAAGTCATACATAGTCAAAGTCAAATATAACTAAACTAAATTAAATTTAAAAACAAAGCTAAAACTGAATGGTTTGACATTTGTTCAGAAATAGAGACAAAAGACATCATGGCTGGCTTGAATTTTAGCTAAGAGTCGAGCACAGGAGTTTTTAAACAATAACTTCAGGTATTCTAGTAAAAGAAGTTAGCCCATGTTGCTAAAGATTAGCCACAATTGTCAAGGAGAGTTGTAAAATACCAAAGAAATGTATAATCAACACGGTTAGCAGTTAGGGAAGGAATTAAACTAAGTAAGTAGAAGGTTGGGGGAAAGTTTATTTTTATAGGGTGTTGATTAAAATGATCCAAAATGTATTTTAAAAAAGTTTAATCTCTACCCTGGTGTGCTGAAGACTTTTCCAACCTATTAATAACAGCAAACCAGCAACAATACATATTTTAAGACGTTGTTGACACAGATTCGACCTCAGCAGCAAATAAGAACCCACTAACCCTCTTTGCCTCTGTGTTGCATCAGAGGCATGACCACTGAGGGATTACACGTTACTATGGCTGTCTGCTATAAATCACACTCTCCAGCAGGGAGGAGAGGACACAGCCAGACATTGTGGCTTCTTCAGGAATGAGGAAGCATCCCAAAATGTCAGTGTGGATGTATGAACACACTCCTGATGTCATCAGTGTTTTCAAACCTCAGAAACCGCTCTATTGTCTGTTTGGTCACACCTTTATAAGCTCATCAGACGAGTCATTCAAGTCCATTAAAAACAGTCTAAAAAAAGTTCTTTACGTTTGACTCTCACTCACTTTCACTGTCACTGAATAGAACGCTATACTGCTGTACAAATTAAATTCACTTCACCACTGCTTTATGGAAAACATAGAAACACATATTGTGTAAGAGTCGGTGTCTGCTGTGTACAGGATCAGGTTATCAGTACAAGTATCATCCCTGTCAGGAACTGGCAACAAAACAAGGAAACTGGAAAAAAACAACCTTGATTTCCCATACAGCTGTTAATGGGAGTCACATTAAGGAACCTTCTCTCAGTCCAGCAAATGTGTCCTCTATATCAGAAAACATGTGTTTTTGACAAAGAGCCAATTTTTATAGCTCATAGTTCGCTTTGGAGATCACAGTGGGTGATAGTGGAGTGATTCAAAGTGTGTTTGTGCTCAGTGTGGGTTGCTCATTTACTTCTGCTTTCAACTCATCTCCAGAGCCTGAACTGCTTTATTACATCTTTTCATCACAAATCATCCATCCATGACTGTGGCTGATGAAACACGGCCGCACATGTTCAACAACAGCTGTGCTGTCTCTTCTACTGACCTCTATGAGCCACCGCTAACCCTTTTCAAAATATGTGAAATTAATCATCTCTGGTTCCACTATGAATGAGTCAACAATTTTTTTAAGGATTTTGGACAAGTACCCTCCACAAAATAAACAGACAAACAGAGAGATAGTCAATTATCATTTCAAATGGTTAAAGTAATACTTTTATGCAATTTCTGTTATTTCATCTTCACAAATGTGACTTTGTCCACGTTACTGTTTTGGTTTAGAAAATGTGAAATTACTATTTGCAATGTACATACAAATAATTCAAGTAATATTAAGAACTATTAAGAACTTTTTCTTGTTAATTTTAGGCTTATCTGCCTTTTTAAAGACTTGAATAAAACCCCGGCGGTCCGAGTAATCGAATGAAAAAAGTTGGCAGTGGCAGCTCCATGACATTACCATCAGTGAGTCTGTGTAAAACATGGGTCACATGCTTGAAGGAAGGGGGGCGTTGCGGGTAGAAAAAAACGTTTTGGGTTTTTTTTCCAGACAGTAACAAAGTTGTTATAATACAGGAACACATTAACGAGATTGAAATCAGTATTTCAAGTATCTGGAAACACGGCTCTGTTATTTATATTTTTTAAATGGAAGTTTATTTCCTTGTGGGAATGAAACGTCACAGGGCGCAGGAGTGAGAGTGAGAGAGGACGATCTCATAATATCTAGACAGAACCTGCTTATTACAATGTTTTCTCTACCTTGCAGCTCTTATTCATACGTAACACAGTTTATTAAACACTATATGTGGTTTGTTATTGTGTAATAATGTTCGAATTGACAAAAAAGAACAGTTACCTGAACTGCCCTTGTCTATTACCAGATCTCAGTAAAGAAAAAGTTAGCGGCCAATGTAATCAGAAACAGTGGGTTTACCTGCATCATCGCCACTTCCGTCATCATGGATGGAATTTGGTCGTCTCCAGAGATGTTTGGATTTTTAGCACTATGGTTAATAAATGTATGTTAATCCTCAAATGGCCGAATAAAATGGCGAACAGTCCCGGGCCAAAAGAGTCCGTGTCAGGAGTAGCAGCGCTAACAGCAGAGCTGAGGAAAATATTGCTTCCTCCTTGATCTCTTGAACATCACGCAAACACAAGCCCCGCCCATCACATAGAGCTGCAGCTCGGCCACACTGCTGAACACGCCCCCTAATGGTAAAAACACGCCTTTAAAAAGGCAAAATTACTCCTCCGGGGAAGGTAAAATTTATGAAACAAGAACTTGAAAGAAAAAATAATGCTTTTTGTTACATGAGAATGTGAATAAGGCTGTGGCGTAGGCGTGTTTTATTTGCGAAGGGCGTATTTTGATGTGTGGCTGAAGCTGCAGCTACCACTATTCTCACCCACCGAACTGCAGAGCCGGGATCGTCCCCCCTACCCCGGCCTATGGGGCTGCAAGAAACACGCTTTAGAAAAAGAATACACATAAATGTTTTCTATTCACTGGAATCAGAGAAAGGAATGTTTTTTGTGCAAGGTACCCTCACCAGCCAGAAACCATTTTCCTTTATTTCTTTACCTTATTCAAAAAATGCAGCAGACAACGTGCTGAAGCATCAATACTGGCTGAAAATAGAAAGACTGTATTACTCCAGTGCCAGCTTGTCTTCACTGGATCCATGTAAAATTCTCCAAACTTTAAAGCACTTAAGGTAGACTCATAGTACTCAGCAGCACCTAGTGGTAAAATACCATGTGAATATTCCCTATCTCTCCCAGCTGGCAAAAAACAGTAGTAAATATTAGTGATCCAAAGTAACATTTTTGTGAAAAATATGCAGATAATGAAAGTGAAGTTTTCTTTTCGATAATGGCTACTATGTAATCTATAATTTTACCTAAATTTAAGCACATACAGCTCAAAATGGCAGGGTGTTATCAGCTCTAAATATTTGGTAATACTCCATTGTTTCCAGAGTATAATTACAGTTTAAGGTTTTGGTTACCAGGCTACATTCCTACTGAATCAGCTACCACCATTACTTTAAAGTTACTTCAGTAAGTAAAGTAAATGTTATAGAGTAAAAGGAGTAGTTCAAATCAACCATGACCCCAGTGGAGCATGGGGACCACATTAACCCTGTAAAGATTATTGCAATATTAAATTTGTGTAATTGATTATTGCACTCTTGCACTTCTGGAGCAAATCCAGATCTGATGCTGTTGTCATTATCAATACATGCTTTTAGCAAAATTGGCATCAGGTCAGTTTGTGTGGTGTTTGCCTTTTCTCCTGGTCTACGCTGGGTTTGAGCCTGTCCAAAAACATGTAGAATTTGGTTTACTGGACACTCTGGACCAGTCAGATTTCCCTGTCTCTGCATATGGCCCTGTGATGGACCAATGAAAAGTCCAATGTGTACCCATCAGCCCTCCTGCCATGATTGTTCTGATTGGCTGAAAAGAATAAACAGGTCATTATAGACATTTGACATTTTGTCATTCCAAAGTACTCATACTACATTGTGTATCAGTGTATTGCTAGCGTTGGATGGTCAGTGGGTGGCGGTGGATCTGAGGGAAGAGCAGTTTTCTGATAGCCAGTGAAATCTGTTTTTTATCAAAGTCTTGTGTTTTTTTTTTGTTACTAGCTAGCTGCTATATAATTATAAATAAAGCAGGTGGACAGTAACAAGAAAATGTTAAAATTGTCCCTGAAATAATGTACATTATTTTAAGTCAAATTTAAAACCAAATTTGATTTATTTTAAAACTCTAAATTTATATTTAAATGTAATTTGTATTTAACATTTTAATTTAACTTTGTGTTGATAAATAAAGATGCACAACTGCTGTATGTAAAACTGCTTTACAGTTGTATCAATCACATTTTTAAAAGAATATTTCAGTTGCTGAATCTGTCAAGGTTCTAAACAACGTATACTTTAGTTGACTGCCATCTCTGTAATGTTACATGTCACAAATTTTTGCATAAAGTTTAATTTAAGTATTTTGTCTTTTCAAATATCGTATTTATTTTCCACACTTAATGCAATGTATGTTTATTTAGTCTTTTGACTTATAAAATTCTTCATCAGTGATCTCGACTGAAGAAACTCTAAAGAAACGATGTTTTACACTGTAGGAAGACTAAGTCTTGCCCTAGTCAGAGTTTACAAGCATGCGCAGGGGTTCCATGAACTCACGCCCCAGTATGTGGTTGGTTTAGTGCACAGCGCTCCCTGCTGGTAGCCACGGCTGCTGTGAATCTGGAGGCCCCTGGGGCCCTAAAGCCACTGATTCCTGGAGGTGTGTGAGTCCAGATAAAAGCACGTATGAAAGTGGCCATATACGCATATATATGTATATGTATGTATATATGTATGTATATAGATTTTTTTTTTTTTCAAAATGGTTCATTTATGAGTGCCAGAAAATCTGGTCAAATTTACATAACACAGATCAATGCTTGACAAAAATATGACGATTAAAACTGTCAAAGCATGTTTACATGTTTACATGTTTAAGTTCTTGACTCTTGACTCTTGAAATTGAGATCGTTGGTTTGGAATTTCTTGGCTTACACTTGTGTAATGAGAGTCTGAAATTGTGGCACTATTTGTACCCTCAGTACACTATGTGTGTAAGCCACGAAACGTATTTTAGGAATAAGGTGTTTTTTGAGGAACTTTCTGTTTTAGATGTAAATAAAAACTGTGACAAAGAACAATGCACAGTTAGGTTTGAATAATTCATAAAATATATGCATTTTAACATAAACTCTGTTTAACCAGACTGGTACAATAGCAGGTACAATTTAGTGTTTACATATGTACACAGTTCAAAGAAAATGTTAAATTCTTTGACCAAGTCAAGGTTTTCTTCTCTTTAACAGAGATAATATGAAGATTAGGACAAATATTTTTGCAGTTATCTCTGAATGTTCAATGTATGGGTTGGAACGGGTGCTTTGGTTTTTCAGTATATACAAAAAAGCTCATCATTTGATTGAGCTATATTTTAATATAACCTTGTCTTGGACCGCATGGTCTTTTATTATTTTTTACCAAAATATATATATGAAGTATAACGCAAAAATATAAAATTCTTCTTGTCCAGGTTCCTTGCATCTTTGCTCCCCCAAAGCACATTGACACCAATGAAATAGTTCACCTGTGTTTTATTAAACCTAGAAATACCTACCACCAGTCAATTATACTTAAAAAACAACAGTTGTAGGCTTTTGAAATGTTTAGCCAGGTTAGAATAATTCTTTTATAACAACAGGTTTTCGTTCCTACAGCCTAGACATACTGTAGACATATCTAATATTTCTGTGACATACATATCTGACTGAACTTCCTCCTGCTCCTCCATAGTGTGGCTGGTTTCCATGCAGCATTCCAGACCAGTTTCCTTCTAGTCTTTTCATAACTTTAGCAGCAGTGTCAAGTTTTCAATAATGTGACTGTTGCATTTCTGATGTCTGTGTGGACTGAGGTCTTGGCATTTGTTTGACAGAACTTTCCAAAACCACTGAACTTTATTTACCTTTATCAGAATAATGGAATTATATGGTAGTTGTTTGCTAATAATAGTTCCACGTTTTAATATGTTTGGCCACACCCAAATTCACAAAAGTCAGTGTTGCAGCATTGTTTTATCACATTACAAAACTGAACGAATACTGGCTGGACTCTCAACAGTTGATCTTGACTATCAGCTTAATGTTTTTACTGATAACAAGCAATAATGTTTTGATACAAAAGCCTCATTTCAGAAAGAGTTGGAGCCCTTTTTCAAACCCTGACCGAGAACTTCAGTTGGTTAGCAAAGTCTTACATTTTAGTATGTTTTTAATGACAAACGGTCCTTTTTGTCTCACGTATATAAACTTTAAAAATGGTACCAAAACACAATTTGTCTAAAGTATAAAGGTAGAAACTGCTGCTAAATGTGTGGGGTTTTTCTTAGTACACGAGACAAAAGGAAAGCTGGAGTATACTTTTTGTGCAGACATGCAACCAGTATATATGATGGGGGAGGGTGTAGCTATGCCATGTAGATTTCATATTTATGAAGCTTTATTTTAGACTTTAGTGAAACATGTGCTTCTGTCAATTTGGTGGTCCTTGTTTTCTCTAAAGGAACAATTCTTATCTTGTTATAATATGGAAACAGGGCCTTTACAGACCTACTGTAAAGTATCTGGGGTTTAATGGTCAGACTGCTTATTAGATCTGTCCTATATTGGAAATGCCTGTCACTTCAGAGAACAATCAGATGAAAGTTAAAGAATCTCTGAAAAGTCTTCAAATCTATAGATTTATTCACAATTTACACAATGAACGAAAAACAAAGTTAGCACCCTTGACTCTGTCACAACTTTTATTGTACTGTTTCAGGCTTTCTGAATTAGTTTGTGTTTAACACATCATTGTCTCACTATTGCAAAAACAAACAAACACAAAAAGCTTCAATTGTGTTACAAAATGCCCAACTGCAGTTTTTATTCTACATTTGAAAAGTGGAGCTTTTTAGGAAATTGGGTCCGTAATAGTTAACTCTGGAGTAGTCATAAAATACGTGAAGACAGTTAAAACGTGGCTCCAGTGATCCCAGGAAGTTGAAATGTGGATTTAAACGAAGTCTTATCCTTTGTTGGACTTTTCTCTTTTTTTAAGAATAATGTGGACAGAGTTCTGTAGCTAAAAGTGTCGGGATAGTAATGGTCAGAATAAGAGAGCGCCATTCTAACACGTATGTGCAAAGAAGCTCACACTAAAGTGCAGCTCACTGTGCCTCTGCGTGAAATTACACTAAAAAAAGCCTCCAGCACCACCACCACCACCACCAGCACCACCACAGACACCCTCCCCCCCCCACCCCCCCCCCCCCCCACCAGCACCCCCACAGACACCCTCCCCCCCCCACCCCCCCCCCCCCCCACCCCCCCCCCCCCCCCACCCCCCCCAGCACCACCACAGACACCCTCCCCCCCCCACCCCCCCCAGCACCACCACAGACACCCTCCCCCCCCCACCCCCCCCCCCCCCCACCCCCCCCCCCCCCCCCACCAGCACCACCACAGACACCCTCCCCCCCCCACCCCCCCCCCCCCCCACCCCCCCCAGCACCACCACAGCAGACACCCTCCCCCCGTCATGCGCGCTCACGAAGACGCGTTCACGTTTGGCAGCTCCACGTCGACATTCTTCCAGCTGCATATAGTGAAGTGCAACAGAACTGAGGGAAGAAAAAGGTAGGCAAGCAGCTACCTTACGACCAGAGCGCTGCAAGACGGACATGGACCGCGGTCAGAGCACACACACGGGCGTCTGCAGAGGCAAACCATCCGGGGATCAGCAGAGTCAGCAGAGGCTCGCTTTCTGCGTTTGCATTTCATGATCCAGACGTGTTGGGGCCCCCTCGTTGCTGGATTGCAGCTGCTTGGTTCCTCTTGCCGTCGTTGCTACCTTACACCAGGTACAGTATGATTTTCACAACTTACTTTTTACCCCCCCCGCCCCCCCTCCATCCCACTATCAGGACTCTGCCGGTGTAGGGGATTGGATTGAGCGATGAAACAGTTTGTTTTAATTTAAAACACTTTAATTTAAAGTGTTTTTGCAGCCGAGAAAGTTGCTGCTTGTGAAAGTGCAAGTGACCTATAACTAACTGCCTTCCAACTGACAGAACAAACTCCTGTGGCCTATTTGCATCTCTGTCCATCTGTATTGTATGATATCACTCCATTCTTTCACTGCAGGACCTGTGTTCACTTCACAGAGTTGACAAACTCAACAGGTACAGTCAATGACACACTTGCTTCAAAAGTGAAATAACCTCACCAAAGTGAGATCAAGCAAAGTGAAAACATTAGTCATGTCAGCTATTAACCAGAGCCTGGATAATGTGTTAACATTGCAGCCAACCAGATGGTCATGCTGACGGGTGAGTAAATATTTTTTAGAATTAATCCTGTAATGAGTTGCTACAGGATCAAAGTTTTGCACATGACCAAGTGGATTCTAACCAGTAAATAATTTCTTTACAGAGGTGACCGTGTGTGAAAAGACTCCATATGCTCTGAAGTACCTGAGCGAGTCTTTCTGTAGGCCCACTTACTTAGGACTCAAACTGGTTTTACTCTAAAGGATGGTTTTGCATTTGAAAATTCATTAACTATTTTTTTTTCTGTTGAAGTTAAAACCATTAAAGAGTTAATCCAAAATGGCTGTCTTTTTTTTTTTTTCTCGTCTTGTTTGTGCTCTAGGCTACGGCAGTTTAAAGGAGCACCCGGTCGAGAGGAGGATAAGTCTCTGCACAAGGACAAACCTATGAGGTGGCACTGTGGCTTTCCAAATAAAGTTCTGTGATACACTAAGACTCTGAAGTGCTTGCAGTCAGTGCATTACAGAACTTTGTTTTGGGAGTTTATTGCTTTAACCTGTCAGATATCGACCCTCATGCGTCTGGAGATTTACAGCTTACAAGATGAGGTGGAGTTTCTGTGGACAAACGGCTCATTTCAAATAAAGTTTCTGTGTTTCAAACCCTTTTCTGAGTGTCTGAGTGTCATTGCATTTGATTTGATTGATCATTTCTACTCTACTTTTTGACCTTTCTCTTGTTCAGTGTTAAATCTTTACTTAATGACTGTTGCTGTGTGCCATATGGAAACAGCAGTGGCGCCGGTCAGGTGACTGGGTGGAGATAAATCAGAAAGGTAAACAGTTTTTTTAATGACATGTTATAGTGTTTTTCAAATTAATGCAGTCAATTTCATTAATAAATAGTTAATGTTATGTCTTAGATTTGACAGCAAGTTACAATTAAAAGTGTACTGATCTCCATTTACAGACAGGAATAAAGATCAATTCTTTTTTTTTCTTTTTTTTACCTTTTTTTCCCCAAACATAATCAATACCAGGACTGCCAGTTGGTATTATTTTATTAAAGCAATGACAATGACAATGAATATGTCCTCAAAATTGACTGTAAAATTGTTTATTTGCTGTATGATTAACAAGGGGATAGAAACATACTGCAGTGTTCTATTTCTTTATAAATTTTCCAATCACTGTCTTTGGCTTCACATCTGATGTGGTTTTCTCCCAATGTGAACACACAAAGTATTAATTTTTCAAAGATATAAAAGACAAACCAACAAATTGAAAACATATTAGTCCACAGAGTTATCAAAGAGGTCATAAGTTTTTTATTATCCAAAACACATCATTTTCTGGCAGGAGTTCTAACTTCTACTTTCAACTAAAAGTAATTAATCTGGACTGAAGGTCATCTTTTCACTGACTGAATTTTTGTAGATGCATGACGACCTACTGCTTGAGCACCTTTTTGTTTAATTTTTACAGGTCATTGACAGTTTTTTTTTTTTTTTTTTACATATCGGACAGTTTCATTCTTGCAAACGTTAAAACAACTGCATGGCAAATGGGTATCCTACCACAATACAGAGCTCAATTTTACAGCATTACAGGGTATTGAAGCCACACCTGAGCCACCGGCTGTTACAGAATTAAAGGCCAAAACTTATTACTACCTTACTACTTATTACTATGAATGCTGAATGAATGACTCAGTGCTCTTTGATTTAGGGAGATATACACTTTCAACAGCTGTTACAGCTGTCACAACTGTGACAAAAGAATATTACAATTCAGTTTAATTAAAACATTGTGCGTCCCATTCCCAGATTTTAAGCTTATATTTGTTAGGTATCCACTAGAAATGGAAGTAAATGTTATATTTGCTATTTCTCAGCCTGTTGAAGCTCAGAGCCAAACCTATTTAAAATGATGGTTGCTTGTCTTATTAACTGCAGTAGAGAGTTGCTTTTATTTCCGTTTTTATGGAATTTAATTGTCAGAAATATGTATTTTGCTGTAGTCTGGTTATTTAATTTGAAATAATGTGATGTTTTTCAGTTTTTGCCTATTGTTTTAAGGCTTTCTACTTTGTTGGCTACTTTAAACAGTAGTGATATTACTCATGCTTTTCAATTCAATTTATGGCCCACCAATTCTCCCTAGAATTGACTTCTGGGTTATGAGCCACTGTTTGAGAACCACTGCCTATGATTATATTTTTAACATAAATTGCATTATCAGAAACGTGTCATGTAACAATTAGTATCCAAACGTGATATTTTAATGCAGTTTTCAGACATAAACCACTTTTTCCCTGTTTAAGCGGTGGTGGATATTTCCGACGGTATGTGAACGCAGGCCACTTTCCATGCGCCGTTTACCTCTGACCCCTGTGACAGCCTCTCATAGATCGGCTCCCTCCATTCACAAACACGGAAGCAGCATGGCGTCCAACATCAGCGGCAGCAGCAGCAGCTCTGACAGACAGCGGGTTGCACAGCACAGACTGAGGGTCATCGCCGGGCATTTACAGAGATCGGCGGAGAGTGACTCGGTCATCCAAGCAGCGGAGTGCAAAGCCTCGGTGAGCGAATCGGTTGCAGCGGACAGTGAGACGAGGACGGTGCCCCGGAGGAGGTACGAGGCTCTGAGATGGAGCCATAGTGCTCATGTTATTCCCATTTGACTTTTGAATTTGTTCTGTTTGGACTGTTAAATAAACAAAAATGCCATGTTAGCTCACATCGTGTCAGCCTGTTTCTCTTTTTAATATGTAACTTAAATAACGAAAGAGAAGCGAGGGACACGGGCTGTGTTAGCCGGTTAGCTAACAAACAGAGCCGCCATTCATATGCTACAGAGTGGGTGCGGCTAGGTACACTTCACTGTGACATCTCTGTGGTTGACTTTATTAAAGTTCAACCAACGAAAGCCTATTTATACATAGTTTACACCATATAAATTGGTTTATTTGTCATGTGGTTTGGTCAAGTGTCAATGACGATATTAAAACTCGGAAGAAGGAGAGGCACTGATAACCTTAGCATTTCAACACAATAAAAGGCGACATTTCAACATTTATTACGCATTAGTTTATATACTGTAGATGTTTATAACATATGTACCTTAATTCAATACTGATATGATTTCATAAAGTCGGTAACATAAACATTACTATGTCAAATTCCCCTTAATGTAAGTCATTGATAATGCCACCCCACAACTGGCATGTAAAAACTGTAAAAAAAAAAAAGTTTTTTTTTTTTTTTAAATTCAGCCAAGGGGTAATATCCTAATTGGAGAATTTAGTAATGTTCTGGTAGATTTTACACGCTCTGTGTAATATATGAAACGCAAATAGCTGCATGCTTTAACTCACAGTTCATTATCCTCTTTTGACTTAGACACACCTTTAGGGTCTCTTACCTCTTTTGACTTAGACACACCTTTAGGTTAAACAATGTGCACATTAGTTGTCAAATACTGACAGTGTACTGTATACATAGTGTTTTCTTTTATGTTTTATTTGAAGTTCTGCAGTTTGGAAGAGTATCATGTTACTCCCTGACCTTCTATTCACAGAGACTTTTAAACAGTGCTATTCTGATATGGTGAGAAAATGGTTTGGGGCAACAAAAAAACAAAAACAAACCTGAGTTACTGATTTTGAGCAGTAAGCTGCATTTTCAGAAAAAAAATTAACATCCCAGTAGCTCTACGTTGCTAAATATAAACTTAAAGTCCATGATTATTAAAGATCTAACAAATTGTCAGCGCTATTCCAAACTCAGTTAAGATCAGTTAATCAATTTAACTATAGGTGATTATTAGTAACAGTACTAATTAAAATACTTCAGAAATATCGGTGATGCAGTCATGTTATTCTTCCCCAACACTCTGATGGTACATCTTAAAACCCTGTCATAGTAACATCTTTGTCCTAGAAAATGTTACAATAAATGGTAGATAATTAACAAGTAAGGGTGTTGGTAGTGGTGTATGCATGTTCACAGGAAACAGCAAAGTTTCTACTGTGTTACATCTGCTCTGCACTGGTGTCACAACAGGGCAACTTCATGTTCATTTCCATTTCTAGACATCTTGTGATTGGCCAACCAAGCTTTAACCAAGTCTATATAATATATTTAATTATGTTGACATATCTGTCTCAGTCTTTAGTGCTCTCCATTTGAGAACAGTGTTATTAGCTGTGGATAAAATGTAATTATTTAAAAAAATAATTTACTTAGGACTTCAATGTAATGGAAGAACTTTATTTATAATGCTCTTCTGAACATACCGGAAGCATTCAAGTTTTAATGAAAGGCTGTCATCATTTGGGGTTGATTAAGGCATGTTTAGAAATAACCCTAGTTCAGTATTCTGTTGTGGCTCTCTCAGGATTTCCCAGCATTATACTCTCACCTATGGTTTTGTGCTCCGTGTTCTTTGAGTTGTCATCTTCTCCCTTTCAGGTTCTTGATCTCCAAACCTACAGTCTTCTCCTGTATAACACTCTGCTAAATGTCTTTTTTTTCTTCCAAGTCTTGAAATATCCACTGTCACATAATTCATATAAAATTATAATTCAACAGTTAATTTGATTAGTTGATTAGAAATGATAGAACAGGTGAAAAAAAGGGTTTTTGATCTGTACAGTACCTAACTGAGTACTGTGCAATCTGTACTAAGACACTTTAGACATGCTGGAAATAAATGTTTTGATCGGAATAGATTCATGGAGTGGCACTATTGTTTTTTTTAATTAGAATATCTGCAAGGGCCAGGAATTATCGCACTGTCACAGTGGCCAGTTCTTACTGACCTTGCCACCCACTTGCCCCATTTATTGATTCATTTTAAGTCAGTATGTTCCCCACCTACGACAACACATCAGTGAAGGTGAGGATTCATTAAAATATCACTGCGTTAGTCACTTCCATTTCTTTTGTTACGCCGGATTTATGGGAAGCTCAATTTGGACAGGTATTAATCTTAATTATGGCTTTTACTCTACCATGTTAGCATCTTATCCCAAGCGGGTTGTGAGTAATGATTGCTCTGAGTGGTGGTGGTGTCGCAGAGAGACGCAGCTAAAGATACACCCATAGGACGTGTATGAGATGGACACATTGACCCAGCTGTCACATTGCAAACTGGCATCAAAAATCCTGAATAAAAATACTGGATTTACTGCTTCTGGTAGTGATTCAGTACATGTATATATATATATATGAATATATATATATTCATGGGTAAACACAGTTGTTTACTGGCTTCAACTTCATAAAAATAAACACATAAATCAATTTTACATTTAGATAAAAATAGATAAAAGTGAATTTGTATTGTTTAAATGCAATGTTAACTTTGCCCTACAAAACACAACAGAAATAGAAAAAATGTCGTCACATGAGTCTATTATTCAACTTTTGGGAAAACCTACATAAGAGAAGTGGTTTCCAAATTCTGCTGTTTGAAAGAGCAGTCAAAATTAATCATTGAAGAAAAACAAAGGTTTTCAGAAAGAGATTCTTTGCATTTCATTGACCAACTAGATGTGTCTTCATATCAAAACACTGAATGAAAGTAAAGATAGTTTTACCACCCTTTCTGAAAAAACTGAAACAAGACTCATTTTCTTACTTATACATGCAGCATGGACTCTATAGAATCATCTTTGGCTGTGCATATGCATGTTAACGTGGAGTGTTAATTATCAGTCATATCAGTTACAGTAGGATTTGTTTAACAAATTCCACATCTACCAGATGTTTAGTGAGTTTAGCTGTTAAGCAGCAGCACTATTTTTAGCTACTAGCTGTATTTAGGCATTGTAGCATTTGACAGCAAATACCTACCTGCCTGTGTGCTGTTTAAGTGGATTCCTATGCCAAATGATTAGCAGAAGCTTCATGGACTACAGCAAATGGTGACCTGGTCCCTAAACACTGAGCAGCATTCAAAGTAGCCGTGGATGTGAGTTCCTGTCTGCCAGGTGTCATAAATGTGAAATATTTTAGTGTGTTAAATGGGCAAACGGCGAGCTGCACAGGGAGACTCTGTAGCCTCCTCTGTTGATTGATATGCCGTTTGAATGTGTCCCTTCTGCTTCTCCATTACTGTGTCAACAAGCTGTTTGTTTGTGAGGCTGTCTGCAGATTGTTGTGTGGTCATAGACACCCAGGGTATATTTGTTAGGTGTGTCTCTTACTGCAGCCTTCCCCCAGTGTTAATTTGCTAACTGATAGCCAGCCCCACCCAGGCTGAAATGAAAAGGTTATGAATGAAATGAGGAATGTTAGTCATTTTCTTTCTCTGCATTAATGCCATTGGTGGGGTTGTTCCATTATGAACAAAAGCTATCACATTACCAGGAAGTTCTCTCCTTTTTTTATCATGGTGGGAATTGTGTGTGCCAACCCATAACAGCCCTAGAGGGATATGGTGCAGAATTTACAGTTCGGCAGCTCACCTAAAGTAATATTAACCTAGACATGTCTTTATACCAGAACCTTTTATTGTATTTCATTTTTCCCCTGTGTTTTAACTTAGCCTCTGCCTTGCTTTTCCCTTCCACAGACAGGAAATCATGAAATGGAACGGCTGGGGATATAGCGATTCAAGATTTCTCTTTAATAAGAAAGGCCAAGCGGAATTTACTGGCAAAAGGTAAGGTTGTGATGTTATTGCCCTATCTAATATGAGGTTTTTGTTTCTTTCGTGGTTTTTTAAAACAATTAAAAATCATCTAATTATCTATTTAGGTTTTTGCATTTTTCCTTCTTGACCTCAGTCAAGAAGGAATATTTTGACAGTCCTGAGCTGTGAGCCTCAGCCTTTGAGATGAGCTTTTCTCTCCTCCTTCCTCTGCTCACATGAGTGGGGTGCTACTGCCACCCAGTGGTTGGCATTTGAGTTGCTAATTGTCATCTGAGAAGGTCACTGTTTCTGGATTTCCAGCCTTTTCCAAACTGTTCTGTTGCTCATTAACAGGAAACGCAGCTCAAATATGGAACATATGTTTGTAATTATTGTCGTGTCTCTGGGGAGTTTTTGGGTAAACACAGTTGTTTACTGGCTGTTTGAGAGAGAAAAAATTACACTGAGTGCTTTGCTTTTTGCTGGAGCAATACCAGTTATATAGAGTATTTTCACTGATCACTTGCTTGATTTAAATGATGAGAACAGAAGCAGAGATGGGGCCCAGCAGTTTGAGCCTGATGTACAACACTAGAACAGGAAGGCTTTCCTTTTCAGTTGTGAACCCTAAATCATTGCACATGGTGCATGGGATGTAGTTTAACTAATGAATTTGGCTGAACAGGATGTTGTGTTAATCTTTCTTCCTGTTCAAGCAGTTGCCACACACTGCTCTCCTCCCCTTTTGAAGTGGTGTACAGTAATGCTGGAACACAGTGGAGTGAATTTCAAAAGTGGTGCTCTTCTCCTCCTTCCTCACTTTGAAAGAAGCTTTTTCATTCCAGTGTGTTTCTTGGTCTTTAGGACAAAGCCACACCACAGTTCCCTGATAGGCTGGTCCAGTCTGTGCCAGTAGCTCAATTATGCAGGGGGTGGCGAGGAGAAGAGCCACACAGAGAGCTTTAACTATACTGCACTGAAAATGCACACATTTTGTTTTTAACCTTTTCCTGTAAATAACCAGTCAATTATTACATGTTTATAGGGTTTGTAACTTGTTCTGGCTGTCATTAATACATCTCTCTGTTTAATAGTAGAGTGTGCAGAAACTTTAGATTGGTGATAGTAAATAGAGCATTTAACTCCTCCTATTTTCCCTGCAGGGGGTGCAATAAACACAACTCAAATGAAGTCAACTGCTATGAAAATAAATCCTGTTACTTAGTCCAAATGTTTTATACATTTAGCTTTAAAACAACACATTTTCTACTAGAAATACGCAATGCAACTCAGGATGGATGTCTCCAGTGGTTACACAACTCTGCATGTGCTGTACATTTACAGTAGAACGTTTAATGACCAGCAACTATGCCTCTGACTCTAACATGATTATCAAACTTTAATTACATCATATTTTTGAAATAAACCTTGCATTCCATAACACAAAACAGATTTTCTATAGAGATTGTAACCTCTATGCTGCAATTGTGCAAAACACACTTACTTACTCAGTAACTTGTTACTTCATAGATATCGACTGAGCGGTTTGATCATCCCTGGTCTCAAGGATTGGTTTGAAGGCACATTTGGAGCAAATCTGCAGCACAAATCACCGGCAACAGTGAGTTGAATTTAATGCTTTACTGTTGTGTCTTTAGCGAATTATAAAATATGCTGTTAGCAACTGGTTCAGCAACCATAGATTTTGCTTTGTTTCAGCCCATCCTGAACAGCAACGCCACACATCCTCCCAATCTCAACAAGGCCTTCGTTGAGGAGCTGAAATCCACAGGTGTTCCTTTCTCTCATGACACAGAGGACCGAGTGTTTCGTGCCCATGGTAGGTCACACATCTGTCCTGTCACCCACAATTACAAACGGTCATTAGTTTTATCCTCACTCATGTAGGGCGTTAGTGACTCCCTCTAACACATTCCGAGTAATTGGTAGTTTTACACATTACTGCATTAATAGACATTGAAATATAGTGTACATTTACCAAGCAATGTAAGAAGTTAACTCGACGTGTATGCTTTGTGAGACAAGTATGCTGACGTAAAGGCATTTTGTATTTGTATCAAGTCATAGGTTCAGAGAAAATAAGTGTGTTCAAAATTTTATGAGATTTTCAAATTTAATGAATAGTCTGTGTAGTGCTGTATATGACAGTGACGTTTCAACTAAAAAGTAATTGGAATAAATGCAAAATATTTTGCACTCCACATTTTCTATGTATTTATAAAAGTAATAGAGTAATTAAAATATAGCGTTGTGCTTAAATTTTTAATACCAAATAATAAGTAAGTTATTATTATCAACTGTGTAACGGTGCCAGTGACTTCCTGAATAACTTACCCAACACTAAGAATAGGTAATTTACATCCTGTGTTGTGATAATTTAATATTAGTTCTATTAAGTTCTAAATAAAGAGCTCCTATTTTAACCCATTCCTGTCTTGTTTTATTATTTAGGACACTGTTTACATGAGATCTTTGCCCTCAGAGAAGGAAAAGTTGGTCGTGTTCCAGACATGGTTGTCTGGCCAAGTAAGTTTGAAACCTGTGCTATTTATTTACTCATTCTTTTTTCTGATTCACCTCCTGATTTAGAGATTTACAAGGTTAATCTCTGCAGAGAAAGACGTATTAATATGTATGAGTGGAAGCTTAATAAGAAGTGTCAGGGGGAGGGTGGTTGTCACCCAATACTCCACACATTCTGGTCCTTTCACAGCCCACACCCCTGAATTATGATTCTGGGATTGGTTTTCACTTGTTATGGCTCTATTTTATCATGCAAATTAACTTAGACTGGTGGCTGAGATTTGATTAGCCGTCGCCCAAATGAGCAGCAAATCATCAGGCAACTATAGGCTCAGAGTCATCTGCAGGGCCGCAATGTGTTGAATTTTTTTTTTTTTTTTTTGGCTTTTCTGTGCTTGCACAAGCAGTACACTCTAAACTTATTATCCACATCATTTAGATTTTGATCTGTGTTAGTATCCCAATAGGCCTCTGTGTTGTAGTTGCAGGTTTAGCATTTTGGACTTTATTTTTCAACTGTAATCCCTGACGTTCAATTAGAGATGACCAGAACTGTCTCTGATTAAAAATTAAAATTTAATAGAACCCAGGCCTTTGTTACTATCTCCAAAAGACGTTGTGTGTCTTTGCTTAAAGGCAGCCCTGAGCAAATCAGAGCAAACAGACACACTCAAACAGCCTGAGTCTTAGGAGTTTATTTATTGTTTCCTTTTTTCCCCCACATTACAAATAAACTTATAATTACTAAGAAACAAAAAAAGACAAAATATATAATTCTTTGTTCTATAATAGTTCTACTTAATACCCTGTTTTACTGTGTCTTTGCAGACTGTCATAATGACGTAGTAAAGATTGTGGAACTGGCAACCAAACATGATGTTTGTTTGATACCATATGGAGGTGAGTCTGAATATTTTAAATTTTAATTGCTGCCATAACCTTTTTTCTGCCATATAGGAAGTTGAATAATTATTTAGTGCACATTTACTAGTAAAACGTGAGCTGTATTTTAGGGAAAATAAATAAACACACTGAAAAGAGAAAAACACTAAGAAAAAGTAAAAAAACAACAAAAAACCTTATCTTCTGTCTTATTTTTTCTCTCCAAGGAGGAACTAGTGTCTCCAGTGCTCTAGAGTGCCCCCCTGAGGAAACACGCAGCATTGTTTCTCTGGACACCTCACAGATGGTATAAAAACTGTCCTTCTATCTGGACACAGAAAAGCATACTAGATCATCGTGAAGTCCTCACTGTTAAAGCCCAAGTTCATACCCAAGTCCACAAAGAAAGTTCTAGTAAGTTTTGGGCTTCTGTGGTTTGAGTTACGGTCTGACTCAAACCACAGAAGCCCAAAACTGAGATGTACACAGGACCTGTAACCACCTAACAATAAATTTGATTTGTAAGCTATACAATCATGTACCTTATGTGAAATGTACTACACAATTAAGTATTTTACCATCACAATCATTCAATTTATAATCAGTATTTAGGCTGTGTTTATAGCACCACCTGTAGGAGAGATAGGACATCAGTTTACTCTTACTCACAAAACCCAGCAAATTACTTTACTTGATGATTGGTTTCTTAAACGATGGTGTATGCAACATTAGTGGCACTAAGGCTCCCTCATGTGGTCTGCAAGGGATTTTTGTTAAACTACTCAAGCAAAACAATGGAGGTACACAAAGTGAGGTTACTAGTTGAAGCATGCACCAGTTTGTGTTTGTATGTGTATGATGTCAGAATAGAATTGAAGTACATGTAGAAGTGCTACTTCATTGTACAGTGTGTCACTGGCTGACAACCTGCTGGTAATCCCATTGATAATAAATTCTCTTCTTCGTATACTGTGCTTAGGGAGCAGTGTTTTGGCTCTCCTGAAAATTTCATCGACAGCCATCAATCTCACTAAGTCGATCCCAGGAGTGTGTAGATAAAGCAGTTTCAGTGGTTCTAATATAAAATGCTGATTGTTAGCAGTACAACACAGCCCTTTGATGTGGTTGCACATAGAAGTGATATATAAGCTGTCCGGTAGCTGCTGGCCTGCCACTAGTGACCAGTGTTCTATGTCAGAGGTCAGAGGTTAGGTGGCTCCAATGCGAGCACTTGAAAAGACCGGCAAGGTTTGAGCGTGAAGTTTATTACCTCTGGAAAAAAATTGATGGCAGTGTAAAACGACCTCCTGCAGGTACGGGCAGGCCCGGTGCCCAGCCACCCAAATAAGTGACATATATAGAATTCAATGTTACATTGAGTTTTAACCTTGAGGAAACTGACTCTTTTCTGTCCCTCAGCCCCTCCGCACACATTTATCCTCAGACTTGTGACCGTCGGACTAGGACGCACTGGCTTGAAACTTTTAGTATTGTAAGCAAACTGCCAAGTGGCTGTCTCCACGGACTGCTGATGAGGGCAGTGTTTATGCCTGAGATATTTTGAGTCAACATAACAGATGTAGGCAGGTTTAGAGTTCAAATGACTGGCATGGTGATGTACAACAGGTTTACAAGCATCCTGTGACCTACATCAAACAAATTGTTTGTTTCCTGTCAACAAGCACCACAAGAATTTTTTAGTCTGTAAGTAGGAAAATTACATCTGCATTGTATTCATTTCCAATCACATGTGCGTGTTGTTTGTTTGTTTTTTATGACAGAATCGTATTCTGTGGATTGATGAGAAAAATCTAACTGCCCATATGGAAGCTGGCATCATCGGCCAGGATCTGGAGAGATTAGTAAGTACTGCTCATATATATTCATATCCATCACTAAATGGGCTTACATTACGGTCATGCTGCGTGGCTGTTCACACCTCAGTTGTCCATGCTCAGTCACCTTAGTGGTCTTTGCTCAGGGACTGAATTGGGTTTGAAAGGGTGTTGGAGATGGGAGGAGAGTGCTGAAGGGGAGAGATTGGAGAGCGAGGCTGTGGTCATGAGCAGATGGCACCGTCAAGCTAATTCAGAAAAATGGAGAAGGAGCCGGGTGTTTGATGTCGAGGAATGCGTGAGCAGCATCTCAAGCAGGCTCCACCTCTGTATTTAGACTGGGACTTTCTGATGGAGCAGATGGGTCCCCGTTATAAACTGTGGTCCGGGAGTTCTCTGATAAAACAGCTATATTCAAATGAGGTCATTACTATTATCCTTTAGTGTTAGTAGTATTATAACAACAACAATAATAATGATTATGAGTAGTAAAATTAGCATTAGATATAATGGAAAAAGTACTACGGGTTGAAGCACTAGCAACAGTAGTAGCAGTAGAAGAGACGTTTAAAGAGGTAATGGCAGCAGGTAGTTGTAGTAGAAGTTGTTTTATCCACGAAAGTATGATAGAAGAAGAGAAGTTTAGAATGGAGTAGCAACTGTGGTATCACTGGCAAAAGGGTGGGTAATTATTTTATTGTTTATTGAAGGTTTAGATTTTTGTTAGAAAGTCCTAGGCATTTCACCTTTATTGTGTTTGTTTATTTATATTGATTACTAATCACTTCACAGCTTATTTCAGGTTCCACAAAAAATTTCACAACACCATAAAAACCTTTACATGCAGCACAAAAAGTACCTTCTGCTCGCTCATTTTTTCTTTGTTATTAAAAATACAGTAGGTGTGGGTTGAACTGAGGACACTTTTTCGTTTTTCTGAATACTTTGGCTTGCTTTCATGGCAACAACAAACATCCTGATCTTTGTGCTGTTTTCACCCGCAGCTTAATGAGATCGGCTACTGCACAGGGCACGAGCCTGACTCCATGGAGTTCAGCTCCCTGGGGGGCTGGGTTGCAACCAGAGCATCAGGCATGAAAAAGAACATCTATGGCAACATCGAGGACCTGGTTAGTCTCCCCTAACTCACCTTTACCTTCCTGATCACGTTGGTCCACAGTATTGTCAGCAGGATGCAATCATTATAGTATAAGGCTGGAAATTATAAAGACAGTTTACATTGTAATATTAAATTTCTAAGATGTGCTCTCACTTTTACATTTTATAAATATTGTATATATTTTTCATTATTCCAACACTTGTACAGGAAAGACCCTAAAAGCTTAATTTCTGTATTGTTTCTAATAAGTACTTGTTGTGTTGATGTCTTCTGCCTGCCCAGGTCGTCCATATTAAGATGGTGACTCCTCAGGGTGTCATTGAGAAGGGTTGTGTAGGACCTCGCATGTCCACCGGTCCTGACATTCACCACTTCATCCTGGGCTCTGAAGGTCTGTTGCTTTTCTCATGTCATTTTGCTATGTTACAGCACGTGTGTGTGTGTGTGTGTGTGTGAGAGAGAGAGATATATTAACATGGGTGTCTAAACTCTGTGTGATAAACCAATAACATCTGGACAAGTCTCAGGCTGTGGACTTCTTACACATTAACCAGCTCACATGAAAACATGGTCCTGAGAGCTGTTAGCCAGGGCTAGCCTGTGTCCTCCCTTCCCGTTCTGCTGCGCCCTGTCCTTGTGAGCATCCACAGAGAATACTGCCATATGCCAGCCCCCCGCCCCCCAATGTAACCAGGAGGTTCACAGACTCCTGGCATCGACATGTTAAACAGCTGCAGATACAAACTTTATGTCCGCCCTACAAAGCTCCGCAATCTGCTCCCGAAAATAAGCTTGGATCATGGCAGAGTTTTCCATTCATATTAATCCGGGAATATTTTAGTCCAGAGTAAGATCAATGACAAATTCAAAGAATCTAGGAAAATAGGTAAATTAGCAATATTTGCAAAAAAAATCAAGTTAAAGTCAAAGCTGCTACGCCATGCTAAAAAGTAACAGTAATGTAGAGTTTAAAAAAAGTCATGAAGCGAGCCTAGGAAGTTTAAACAATCAACAAATTATGCAGGTTTTATATTAAGATTGCATCACACAATACAATAAATAAAGAAAATAAAAATAACAAATAAATAATTCCACTTAAACATAATGTTATAGTTAATCTACTCTACTAAAATAATAATTTTAAATTTATATTATCATGTTTTTATAAAACATAAATAGTACTGTATAGTTGTTAATCTCATTTTGTTAATCTAAATCATAAATGTAATTTTCTTAAAATTCTAAGATGGTATAAAGAAGAACAAAGTATTGAGAAGAACATGCTGTCATATCAGGGAGGTTAAATTTTCTAATGTCATAAAATAAAAATGCAACACTTCAGTAGGACATTTGGTAGAAAAGTAGAAATAGATACTTTTTAAAGAAATACATGTACGGTAATAAACTCTAGGTCATGACCACCTCTCCATTTATTTAAAATCTATTGTTTCAGCTCAGTGATCCATCACTTTCCTCTAGAAAGAAGAACCTACGGTCTCCACAGTCTGACAGTGGAACACAGTAACTCAGCTCAGTTCTCTGAAGCTCTTAAATCTGTTCTGCATGTTACGTGGAACCTATCCATTTTATTATTAACGACTGTGAAAACCTCAGGTTTCTAATTTACTGTAAAAACAAGTGGGTCTCTCCTGTTTCTCTGACCTTGTGGTCACCGGGGTGGAAAGGGTTTATATCCTTTCTGCTCTGAAATAGTTGGATTAGATTAATTCTAATCCATTTGTCCTTTATGCTTCTAAACCAGAGTTCTCTGTCTCTCTCTCTCTCTCTCGCTCTCTCTCCCCATCTTTTTCCTTCTCTCTCTCTCTCTACCCCCACACCTCCAGACCTCCTCCTCTGACCCCTCCCACATCATCACAACCTCCCACTTCCCATGAGCAGGGTGGAGCCTTTCTTGTTTTAAGGCCTAATTGAAATTTACATGTCACATTTTTTCCCATTTGACCGCTAGGGAGCAGCATGTGGTACATGTAGCATCACATTAAATGTCCTGTAAGGAGACTTCATGAATCAGCAGTACAAAAAGGACCAAAACTTAAACCAGGATTTGATTTAGTTTTTAAAAGGAAAACATATTATCCTCCTCAAACCCGTAATACTGTAGAGATATTATATAAATCATACATTCTCTGTTAATATATATCATGCAATGTTGGTTAAAATCTTAACAGACAGAGAGATGATGTGTCGTTTACCAGTAAATTGTCCAGTAGAAACACTGTTTATAATATAGTTCTGTTTGTATTCACAGTAAAATAGTCAATCTTTAAATAAAGCTCCAGTTTTATTTTTATTATAATTCAATGGGTTTATTTGATGTCTGCAATAACCGTGTAGTGCAATGTTACGACTTTTTAAATCATCAAATAAATTGTAATTTTTTAACCTGAGGGGTAAAATGGTGATGTCCTAAATTTCAAGCACCAAAAAGCCAGTTTGAATCAATGTTGTAAACCCGGATACTGGTTGATTGTGATCACCTCTGTGTGAATATTTATGAAGCCTCAACCCTGGCAGCAGATGTAATTTCTGTTTAACGTCCATTAGCGATTGCTGCTAGCCACCCATATTACTGTCAACGGCAGATTAGCATTAAAAACTGAGAATACATGTGTTCAAACTAATTTATTTCTGCTCTCTGATGTTTTATTGGCTGTATATTCTGTACTGCGTGATCCTCTAATGTTCTACGCTGTCAGTGACAATGATTCACACAACGATATCTCAGGCAATTTGTCTTTTTTTTAATGGCAGCAGTTGGATGTGGTGACAGATTTTCTCTCTTCTTTAGTGTAATCTCATTAGAATAAAAGTCTGAGTAGAATTCTTGTTGTTGTAATGTATTGTAGAAGAAAATCGACTGTCAATTTATTTTAATTTGTGTCGAATGACACGGCAAAGAATCAGCATGAAAAACAAAAACAAACACAATTCTTTTTGGTTCTCACATGACTTCTATTGGGTTTTTCAGCTCATTCAGTTTAATTTTCATCAACTGCTTGTTACCAGTTGTTTCTCACATCCATCTCCAGAGCTTGATTACATAAAAGTTCCAAAGTTTTAGAAAATTGTTAGCTTAAAATAAGTCAATATTTAAAAAACATCCAAGAAATTAAAAAAGTTAAAAATATGGTGTTAAATATGGCAATAATTTCCTAACAAATTAAACACTGAGACTGACCTTAGGAAAAAAACAAACAAATGTGGGCGACAGAATACAAGCCAGGAAGGTATTTGTGTTTATATTAAATTACTTTAAACAGAGTTTCCTCCTAATGACCAACACTTTTCTCGGTCAAAATGTGCGTCGGAGGTTTTGCTTCTGCCGCCTTTGATAGAATCCTGCTTTATGTCCTTCTGCTCAAAGACTGAGAAACCTAAGTTGTCTCCCAGTGTGGGGTAGAAAATCCAGATCTGCTGGGTGAAATGTGAGACAAAGGTCGCCCCTGAAAACCCCGGGGACGTGTACGGGAAACTTGTAAAAGAGTATAAGGTTCCGCTTTAAGGGCCGAGTTAAGCCATTTAAATGATGGGAATTGATTTACTTGTGTTCAAGCTACTCAAAGTCTCTTACTGTGATTTTCCACAGGAACTCTGGGTGTGGTCACTGAGGTCACCATGAAGATCCGTCCCATGCCGGAGTATCAGAAATATGGTTCTGTTGTTTTCCCAAACTTTGAGCAGGGAGTTGCTTGTCTGCGGGAGGTGGCCCGACAGGTAACACTTTTTAATGTGCTTAATTAAACTGCGTCTTCAGTGTGTTGTTAAAAATGAACTGAGCTGCACTGACAACTAAGCCGGCATTTTTTCATTTTACAACACTTGACTTTTAACATGCCAAACAATCGAAGTTGTCATATTGTAGGATGGATTCTTAAAGAAAAATCACAAAAGCAACTCAAGTCATTTTATTTGTATAAGCTGAAATTTGATAACAAAGATAAAAGTGTTAAATTGAAATGATATAAAACAGAAAAACAGAACATAGTCTTTGAAACTTATTATAGACCACCACTTGCAACAAGATATTCAATGTACTAAAAAATTTAAAATTTAATATTTAGTCCCAAATTAGCAACAACTAAGCCATATTATATCTGACAAAGAGACGATAAAAAAAAAAAATAGACCTTAGAACAGGCAATAAAATACCCAAAGGCAAAGTAAAAGCTAAAAGGTTAAGAAAAGTATTTGATAAAATTGGCCTTAAAAAGACCAAAACGTCAGAAAAAATATATTTTTCAAAATTTTTCAAAAAAAAAATGTCAGACCTGAACTCTTTCATCCACAGTAGGAGCTCAATATAGTTGTCATATTGACATTCTACAAGTTCAATAGTTCAGTACCGTATGTACTCTCATGTTATGCTAATATTTCTATGGACTGTTCAGTATCACTGAGTGTTTCTACAGTTAGATTTACATCATTTTGAAAGTTGAATCAATTACGTCATGAATTCAGACAACTAAAACCATACCTAACTTCTTTTTTTTCCCCTTTTTTACAGCGTTGTGCTCCAGCATCAATACGACTCATGGATAATGAACAGTTTAAATTTGGTAAGTTTTATTAGACTCTTTATTTTCTAGAGCTCTATCTCTTTGCTTTGTCCAAACACATCACCATTTATGTTTTCTAGAAAAACTTCTTCTGTTTTTACCCCGTTAGGACATCTGGCTTTAATTAGAATCTTTACAACATGTGGCAAATAATAATAACAATAACAGGCTTTAAAAACCACCAGCAGCAGAATGGTGAACTTATAAAGGAAGACCATTGTTAGTCGTTACAGTTAGTTACCTTTTTATGGATATGTATACTTTATGGAAGTTAAATAGTTTTTATGTTGTATTTTAATTAAATAGTAATATTTATTGATTTTAATAATGTGATTTACTAAATACATTTAAACAAAAAAAGGTGGACTTGGAGCAGACAGAACTCTCAGAATCGATGTTGGTGCAGAGGGAAAAAAAGTAAGAAAAAAATGGTGCATAACAAACTTGATTTAAGTGACATTCTATTTTGTAAACTGTAAAAATGAACTATTAAAATGTATATTTTGGAAAGTATTGTTAACATTAAAGCAATGAGGACAAAGAATGAATCAAAACAGTAGTACCCAGTATAAAGATTATAACTTTGTCCAGGTTTTAAATTGATATGTAGTGGTAAAACTAAACACCTTTATTTCTCTCTCTCTCTCTCTCTTTCACACGGGCAGTACCGGTGGACAAAATGAAGTAGTTGCTCCTCTGAAGTTTTATAATGTTGTTCCCTAAGCTCTAGTGAGATGCATGTGGCATGAGCAGAGATCTGTGTAAAGTTCCCTAGTCTCCAGGGATCTCATTATCTCCACTATATTTCCACTTTTCACAGAGTAGGCACTTCTGAGCATAAGTAGGAAAGATGAAGCGACCAGGTTTTTCCCTAATAACAAAAACTCATGCCTCTGTGATACCTCTGTGGGCTTATTAGTGGCCTGTCCTCACTTTTAATCATGTTGGCTGTTGAGTAAGGAGAGTTGATGTATTCACTGGTCTTTTCCAGATTGGGACTACAAGTACAATTTAGCACCATGCGTCTCGATACACAATATGAAAAATGAGCATGTTGTAGTCACTATCTGTGTGTTTAAAAAAAACAAAACAACAACACACACTTACACACAACCAAACCACAGAGGGAAGAGTCAAAATGAAATAACACTCAGTGTAGGTGTAATTTCCTCTCACCGGATTTTTCTCTGTTTAATTAACGAGTATGATGGCCGGGAGTGGCCTAAAGACCTGCAATCAAATTTTGGAAATGAAACAATTAGGACAGTAAGTGATGAAGAGACTTGAGCACGGAGGGAAATAAATGAACTGTTAACTCTCTGCGACATCACCCGTTACTTGCTGCTGTGATTGATAACCATCCCACTGGCCCCAGCCCCTCATTTTCACTTGTCCGCAGGCGCTTTTGTGCGTCCGATCAGGAATAAATCAAAAAAAAAAAAGGAAAAAGAATTATGGGTGAGGAAGACGGATATCATTGTGTCAACTCCGCTTCCCTTCAGAAACCCCCTGATTTATTGTCTTTGTCGCTGGCAGCCACTGGCTAGTTGTTAAAGTTGTTCAAATGTTACAGTTTGTTTTTCCTGCCTTTGTAGGAGACCCCGAATAAATCTGACTCACTTGCCCTCTCATGACACTAAAGGATGCAGGCAATAGCCTGGCTGTGACTAATGTGTGAAAAATATTATCTGTTGTTGCTGCTGGCTTCTCACTGAATACAAAGAGCTGACTTTGATCTGATATTTCCTCAGGTCATGCCCTGAAGCCTCAAGTGTCTTCCCTTTTCACTTCCTTTGTGGACGGGTTGAAGAAATTTTACATCACTAAGGTAAGAAAATGATGAAACGAATACTAATTTATTAGGCCAGCCATCGCTCCCGAGCCAAACGCTCTTTAGTTTCTTTGCAATGGACCACATTTAGGCCGACTCTACTGACTAACACATCAGACCAGAATTATAAGTAGATTGTTGTAGTAGGGCTTTAGTTTGTAATGGAGTTTTAAACCAGTCTGACTAAAATGTCAGCTTGCTTGCTTATAGCAAAACAGTTTTATGGTTTAATGGTTAAAAGTTCATTGAGAAAAGGTGTGTAAATTGGTCAAATGAGTAACGTTGACTTCATTGTAGTCTGTCATATCAAATACTGAATGCTGTTGTGTTGTAATTGATCATTGCTTGCATAAAGATATTTTCATCTTGTGTTTTTTCATGTGAAACAACAGATTGATCAACAATAAATTGTTAACAGCTTTCTTTTTGTTCTTTGTTATAAATGTTTTTTAGTGGTGAGTTGTATTTCCTGATCTTTTTCCTGGAAAGAAAATGAAAACCTATCTTTTGGTTTTAAAGGTTTCAGACAGCTGCATCAGACCAAAGCACTAGTTAAAATACTGTTTTTTTCACATCCTCTTCTAATAATGAAAACAATGTTATATTATTTATTTGTATCATACTTTGACTTATTACATGTCTTTAGTTGCTCTGATAGAAGAGAAAAACAAGTGGCAGCACTTGTGTGTGACTCTCATGCAATGTTGGTTTTAATTTGAGAAAATGAGCAGCGTGTCAGACCTAATACTGAAATCATATTCATTTACATCAACTTTACTTTATTAATAGACAGTGGTTCTGTTAAGATACAAAGAAATAACCTTCTCTGCCATGAACTGTTGTTAATACTTCCTTTCAATGATTAAAAGTACCCAGCATGCATTTTTCTAAGTGTATAATAAAATTATCCCTGCTTTGTTCTCTTACAAGTTCAAAGGGTTCGACCCCAACCACTTGTGTGTAGCCACCCTGCTGTTCGAAGGAGACCGTGAAAAGGTGCTGCAGCATGAGAAGCAAGTTTATGACATTGCTGCAAAATTCGGGTGAGTAGTTCTCAGGGGTTATGTTTACCTTTTTTTTTATTCACTTTTCCAGTTTTACCACAATGCACGACATGAAGAGCCTGTCAAATTCTCAACAAAAATGCACAGTGATGTTTTTACCATAATGTGATAGAGAGCTGCCCAAGGCACTGATGTCACCACATATAACCTTTAGTTAGAGGAGAAGCAAAGTTGGACACTTGATCTTTCACTCTCTGGTTTAATGTTGGTGTGTGTTGATGGATCACTTGTGGTCGACCAATTGTCAGGGCTGTTTTTATGTGAAAGTAGGTGTGGTGTGGGTGGTGATAGTAGAACACGGCTGACCTCGGAGCACACGGCCAGAGGACGCAGCCTGGAAACGCTGTGCTGTTGTGATCGATTGTGAAATGGATAAATGAGGAGTTTTGGTGGAAATCGGTTACCTGTCAGCTGAAGCCGGCCCTCTTTTTTTCTTCCTCCCCTGTGTCTCTCCTCCCTTCCTCCTCCTCTCATCACCCTCCTGCCTAAGTATGTTTTAAACGTCTCACAGAGGCATCACAGAGCAGTTAATCCAAACACACATTAACCTTTGTGCAGTTTAACTGCTTATAATGATGGTGGAGTGCTTCGTAGTGGCTATGGTTGTGGTTTTAAAGTCCTGTTCTACTGGCCTGCTCTTTGCAAATATCCTCTCTCAGCGCCTCCATAATAAAGAAAAAATGATAGTTTTCATAATTTGAAAGTTTAAGCTCTCATTAAATTATAATTTAAAAAAATAGCAAATTATGAATGTTTCAGTGGAAGCTATAGTTGAAAAAAAAAACTTTGCAACTAAACAGAAGCTTTGTACAACTTGGTTACTTTGCTTTATAAAATTATTAACATGGGTGACCACATTGTTTTGAAAACTTTTACAACATTGTTTAATAAAATATGAAGCGTTTAAACTCCAGTATTTAATAGTTCTATAGCTGGGGTTTTTAAAGTTGTGGGTGCACCTCCCTTGGGGGCACCAAAGCACTTTAGGTGCAGCGAGAAATAAGGGGAAATAAGAGCAATACAACAGTCATACGTAGCTTTTTTTTTTTTTTTTTTTTTTTTTTACAGCTCTGCAGCACAAGGTCCATTTTCATTCATTCCTGTTGTCAAAAGTGAGTAGGCTTCTGAGCAGAAGCTGGAAATGGAACTCTGGGCTAAGACCCACAACTAAAACCCTGGTCTGTTGTAAACACATGGACACAGTGGCACTGACTGACCACTGCTGACTCATCATCTATTACTGTGATTTTTTTGAGTGTTTGGCTCAGAGCCTGGACCTGTAGGTTGCCAGAGCCCTGCCCTGCTAATATCAAGCAATTAAATCATCAGAAATGTGTCAGTTACATGCAGCAGCCACTGCCTTATTGCATTATTTTGAATAAATCGTGATCAGCCATCAAATCAAGTGCCAGTGATGGATTAGTGCGGTTCAGAGAAGAATGTTTTCTTCTGCTGTTTGGAAACAGGAAGAAGGAGAAAACGATCAATATAGTGATTTTCTAATGAGCTGGGCCTGATTAGTTTGGGTGGTAGATGAAAATCTGATTACCCACTGCTGGTGATGGATGTGTGGCTGACCTGTGGCAGCACATGGAGCACAGCTTCATTGATCTGTACAATGTTAGAGTGACAGCATCCCAGGCAGCTGTTGTGAGAGGGAGCAGTCAGAGCAAACAAAGCTAACATAGAAGAGCTGTTAAATATTAACCCTGTTATCTTCTTCCAGGGGGCTGGCAGCTGGAGAGGACAATGGTCAGAGGGGTTACATGCTGACCTTCGTCATCGCTTACCTCCGGGTGGGTCACTCCTCTGGTTCTTTTTCTCCCATCCATCGTTGACGGGCAGGTGGGGTGGTCCGGGTGACAGAGGATAGGATAGTGAACAGCACAGAGGAGCCATAGACTGTGACCTCCTGAAGTCTTTGGTTTGATGTGGTCACAGTAATTGTCAGGGTGTCTAACGCAGAGGTATGAGCATAAGAGGGACAGAACTGTGGCTGCAGTCAGAATGACAATTGTCCAGTGTCACAGCTGTCAGGCCTGTCTCATTATCACACAAATGTAAAAATGGAAGTCTTCGTCCTGTCACGACTTCTTGAAGGCTTTTCATTCAAATGTCTTTTGTAAAATGGTCAATCAGATCAGGTAAGTATTTGTGTATCCTAGTCAGTTTTACCACTAACTATATCAATAAATATATCTATATAATATATATATATACAGTTTATTTGTTTTTTTTTACCAGTAATAACTACCTCCTGGTTGAATATTTAAGAATGAGGATTTGCTTCAGCTGCATCGCTGATTAAGTTTTTCAAAAGCAGGAAAGAGGGGCTGCAAAAAATGTTTTGAGGACCACTAGTGCACAGTATCTTCCTCCTAAAAGTCTCCCTTACGTTTATTAGATCAGTAAATCTTGTAAACCTGATTATAGAATGAACTTATTTGAAAATAGAGTTCTTCTTCTAAATATATGGGGATCTATGGACCATGGTGGACAACATGTGATTGACAGGTGGACTGTAACCTGCTAATTGTATTAGCAGTTACTTTAGTGTAACTTTATGTAACTTCTAACTTGATGTAGCTACACGTCCATGCATAAATCAGTCTTATAGAGTTTCTATTGTTTTCTGTACAGGACTTGGGAATGGACTACTATGTCATTGGAGAGTCCTTTGAAACCTCTGTGCCTTGGGACAGGTAAATGCACTGATTGTATTATTTTGTCTGCTAATTGAAATGTTTATATTCCCACACATTCAGCCCTGACTGAGAGAGTCCTCTTGGGTATCCTACTGCTGGTTTCCTCATTTTTTAAAAATAATTTACCTTTTATTTTTTACCTTTAAGCCTTTTCCTTAATTTCCTTCAACCAGCTCAGTGTGGGGAAGAAGCTTTTCCTTTTTAGCATAAAAATCTGCCATTATGGCTTGCATGTCCGTGTGCAGAAAAGAGATCTGGTTTCACATTTGTCCAGGTTTTAACACAACAAACAGGAAGACACACACACACACACACGCAGCTTCTTGTCGTGTAAAATGCCTAACGGGAGAGACCAAGAGATCAGGCAGTGAGGCGAGCATATGTGCCTGCCTCATTACTCTGTCTCCCTCCCCATCCTTCACGTTCCACACGCGGCTGCACAGGCTCAGAGCTGACAGCCATTTTCCACACCACAGTGGTCATCGTGTTAGCCCCCGCCCCCCCTCCGTGCCAGCCTTGTGGTCTTTTTTTCCCCTCCTTACTTTTATTACTATTCCTGTGCTAATTTATTGACTTTAAAAACTGACATTAAGCTGCTCTAACATATCAGGTGGCTGTTACTGTCTTTGCAGGGTGTTGGACATTTGTCGAAATGTCAAGGCACGAATTATTCATGAGTGTAAAGAGAAGGGGGTGCAGTTTCCACCGCTGTCCACATGCAGGTATTGTTTAAGACACTTGAAACATTTGTCTGTACTATAAAGTGTTGCAGTCCACATGCAATGTCTCATTCCCTTAAAGAGGAAATCATTGTGTGAATGATTTTTAAAAAAGTCATTACAGTCTTTGATTTTATCTGTATGTGTTTATAAAAGCCTACTGTTTAAACGTTAGGGAAATTATTCTATAATAGATCTGGAGCTCCTCATTATTGACATTATGACTGAAGAATAACAGATGTCCCTCTTAGGGATGAATGATTTGAGAAATAAATATCCAAACTGTGTTAAATGAACCCAAATCAATAAATCAGTAATTAATTTGTCAAAGTTAAAGATAATAATTCTCCCACTGGATCTGTTTCTTGTGACTAATGTGCAATTTAGAA